ATCACTGACAGCTCCAACCTCAAGCACCACCTAAACATTGGAACTGCAGATTCCTGGTGCCATCGTAAAATGATGCTGGGACAAATAGCCACTCTCCCGGTGTTTTAAGATGGCACTGGATGACTTAAGTGGTTAATTAACTTTCAAAACAGTACAGTAACCAGTAAACAAATTAAAATATTTGGTGTGTCCACCCTTCGCCTTAAAAATAACAGCAATTCTCTAAGTTGCACTTGCTCACCGTTTCGGAAAGCACTTAAGTGGTAGGTTGTTCCAAGCCCCTTGGAGAATTTGCTCCATTTGCACAGACTTTGGCTGTCCTAACTCATGACTCTACAAATAATCCCAGACTGGCTCAATGATGCTGAAATAAGGGCTCTGTGGGAGTCATGCCATGTGTTGCAGGATTTTACCTTCTCTGCTGCAACCGGTTTTTATTTGCTTAACCGCCTCCCATAAAAGGAAACGACGGGAGCACGGCGGTTCTCTCCTTCTGGGAGGACGTCATATGACTGACGTCCTCCCACTCTAACCGTGTGTGCGCGCCGAATGGTGGTGCTCTGTGTCCCTGGGACACAGCGGATCACCGATCAGCGGAAAGAGCCGATGACTTCGGCTCTGTCATGTGATCAGCTGTGTCCAATCACAGCTGATCGCATGTAAATAAGGAAATGCTGGTTATCGGCATTTCTCTCCTCACGAGCTTTCACACTGACAGTTCGTGAGGAGAGCCGGTAATCGGCATTCCTCAGTAGGGGACATCTACACTGATCATCAGTGCCCTGATGATCACTGTCGCCCCATCGTGCCACCTGTCAGTGTCCATCAATGCCACCTGCCATTGCCCATCAATGCTACATTTCAGTGCCCATCAGTGCACATCAATGCCACTTATCAGTACCTACAAGTACACATCAATGCCACATATCAGTGCCCATCTGAGCTGCCTTTCAGTGCCAACTATCAGTACCACCTATCAGTGTCCGCCAGTGCCGCCTATCAGTGCCATGAGTACTGCCTTTCAGTGCCCATCAGTGATGTCTGAATGCCCACCAGTGATGCCTGTCAATGCCCATCAGTGCAGCCTTATTAGTGCACATCAGTGAAGGAGAAAAATTAGTAATTTACAAAATTTTATAACAAAAACTAAGAAAAAAATTTTTTTCCCAAAATTTTTATTTTTTGATAAACAAACCAAAAACAACAGTAGTGATTAAATACCACCAAAAGAAAGTGGTCTCAAAAAAAAAAAAAAAAAAAAAAAAGATAAAAATTTCATATGGCTACAGTGTTGCATGACTGCGCAAATGTCAAAGTGCAACAGCGCTGAAAGCTGAAAATTGGCCTGGGCAGGAAGGGGGTGAGAGTGCCTGGTAGGCAAGTGCTTAAAGTGGTTGTGAAGGCTCAAGGTATTTTTTTTTTTTTTTTACTTTCCTGCATTCTATGCATGAAGGCGAAAAACCTGTGTGCAACAGCCCCCCAAGCCCAATCACAGCCAGTGAGCTAATGAAGAGAGAGAGGGGGCGAGAGCGAGTCTGCTTGGGTGACCCTATAGAAAGCAACTTGCTGTGGGGGTACTTAACAGAAGAGAGGAGCCAGGGGTGCCAGCGGGGGACATGAGAATAGGAGGATTGGGGCTGCTCTGTGCAAAACCACTGCACGTAGGAGGCATGAGGGTTTTTTTTTTTTTAATATATTGCCTTTAATATCACTTTAATTCAACCAAGCACTAGGCTTTACTGTATGCCTACAAAGAACTTATGTTCCTTAAATAGAAAGTAAAAATAAAATTAAACTATAGTCTTGTAATGAGTGATTTATAAAGAGCTATTTCTGGTACCCCCTCCATCAGTTGCTAAATGTTGGGCTAAGTGGGTGGAATATCTTCAAGAGGATTGGGATGATATGTGGCACCTACCCTTTATCCATCTGGTGTCAGCTAGGGATAGGCTCATACATTTAACATTTTTACATGGGATTTATTATACTCTCGCCAAATTATCTATTTACCCCATCGGTCTCCGCAGAGTGTTGGTGCTGCTCGCACTCTCCAGCTGCCTTTGGTAATTTTTTCTGGTACTGCCATGTGGTTCAAGTATTTGACAGAGGTACTTGCGTTTGACATGAATGCTGGCCCTTTCCATTCCAATGGCAGTACTGGTGTGTCTGCTGGGCCTGGTGGAGGGGGTGGCGCAGACTAGGGCACAATAAACCTATTTGAGTATCCTCTTGTTTTATGCCGTAAGGCTATTATTCTTCACTAGAAACAACCTAGGGTACTGACCTAATCCTACCGGAACAGTCTAGTTAACAAAATTGAAATTCACAGCTATAAACAATCCTAATGAGTAAAAAAAAAACAAAACAAAAAACAAATCCTGACGACTTCCCCAGAGTAGTACAATGTTACTATGGTAACATTATATTGCTCTCGTCACAGTGTGTTAAAAAAACAAAATGGCACTGTACTGCACTGGTGAAAGTAAAATAAACTTTAAAAAAATCCACCATGCATCTTACTAAATACCTTGGACTGTCTACTTTCCAAAAAGGGGTCCTTTGGGGAATATCTGTACAGTCCTGACATTTTTGGGCCTCAGGAAATGAGACAGGCTGTCAGTACATCAAGATTGATTGATTTTCAGATATCTAAAAAACATAGTTTGTGGACTCTAACTTTCCTATAGACTAAATAATAAACACTGATTTGGGTTATTTTCACCAAAGAAATATGGCAGGATACATTTGGCCTAAAATTATGAACAATTATTTATTTGCAAATTTTAACAGAAAAGAAAATATGTTTTCTTTTTCAAAATTTTCAGTCTTTTTTCGTTTTAGTAAAAGCTAAAAAAAAACAGTGGTGATTAAAGATCACAGAAAGAAAGATCTATTTGTAATCTGGAGTGACAAGACCAAAACAGAGCTTTTTTTCACACAGTGTGCAATAAATTGTGAGGCCTGTCAAGGTGTTTTTGGGCATATTGTAACCAGGCTTTTTTGAGGCATTAGTGCAGTAAAGGCTTCTTTCTGGCAACTTGACCATGCAGCTCATTTTTGTTCAACTATAGTCATATTGTGCTCCTTGAAACAACCACACCATATTTTTCCAGAGCAGCCTGTATTTGAGGTTACATTTGGTTTTTACTTTGTATCCCGAACAATTCTGGCAGTTGTGGCTGTCAATCCTTGGTCTACTTGACCTTGGCATCAAGAGATCCCCAAATTTTCTACTTCTTAAGTGTCTGAACAGTACAGAGTGGCATATTCAAGACTCTGGATATCTTTTAATAACCTTTATCATTTTACATAGTTCCATTACCTTGTTACACAGGTCTTTTGACAGTTCTTTTCCCCATGGCTCAGTATCTAGCCTGCTCAGTGCATCCACATGAGAGCTAACTCATTGACTATTTGCAATAATTGCAATTTAGAAAGCCACAGATGTGGGAAATTAACCTTTAATTGTCACTTTAACCTGCATGTGTCACCTTTTGTGTTTGTACCAAGGCTTATTTATCTTTATGTACTCCTGCAATATAATGTCAACTACTAAGTAGATACGTCTCTTGCCAATACATTTCCATCTATGGCATCATATGTATATTGTAAATTGACATGTTCATTTATTTGAAAAAATAGAGTTTGAAAAAAAAAAAAAGGCTGATTTCTGTTATTAGGATTTAAAAAGGAGCCGAACAACTATATTAATAAACAGCTTTATATTGTCACTATCCTTAAATTAAAAAAAAGACAGTTTTTTGGCATGACCAGTCATTTTCCATATGATTGCCAAAATGTCACGATTTCTGCCAGGGTATGCAAACTTTTGAGAACTGTAACGTGATGCCTGCTTGGAGGTACAATTTTTCACTATGGCGGAAGCTTCAGACTGAGAAGTCTAAGAGCTTTTGAACACAGCAGTACATTATGGTTTACAGCCGTGCAGAATACATCTGTTGTTGTGGAACCAAGTAGCCACAGTGGCAGTGTAATTTTGCCCACTGAAATGCAGACTATGCATTCTGCTGCTATATGCATGCAAGTTTGGCATTTGCATTTCCATGCATACAGGCATATTTTTCAGAAATGGCAGTCTTTGAAAAACACACCTATACACATGCAAACACAGGCGCCAACAACGTCGCGCACAGTGGATTTTGTAATGAATTTAAATGGGCAAACTTACACTGCAGCTCCTAGACACCATGATATCAGGCATGGGCAAGAGCCCTAATAAGTGATGAGCCGCTGCTCTCTTTCAGTTTTACCTACTGGACTCTGTATACAAAAGGCTTTCCTTTATGAAGAGAAGAATTACAACACAAGGTCTGCCCATCAACAGAAACTAGCCATGTACATTTTCCTTTCTGCCACATAAACAATAGTTAAGGCTTGGAAATAGCGCTCAATCTCGATTTACAGGAAGTCAAAGACTGTATGAATCAGATGGTACTCAACGAGAAACTATCCAGTATCCACAATGATTCTAGACCAAACTTCTTATGCACCTGGGAACTGTGGCTTACTTTTGTCCGTCCTTTAAATCTAGCAAACCCATCTTATCTTTAGCTCCCTATTTCGATTGGGACCCAAGTTCATGGGGACCTCCTCCATCCTTCCCTTCCCACTACCCCTTGCTTACCTTCTTTTCCTCCTTTTCTTCCCTTCTGCCTAGTTCCCTTCCCAACCTGATTCTGACTGTCCAATCCACTCGAAGCATCTCATTCTATTTCTAACTTTCAATGTACACCTGCTTTGCTTGCCACTTGAAGGCTTTCACTAATTTGCTGACTGAGTTCTATGTTTATGACCAGCTTAATTTGAAGCCATTGCCCCTGCGTGGGCTTAACAGTTACCATTTTTATACATGAAATTGCCAATAAAAATAATTGAACCAGATTTACAAACACAGGAGAATATAGCACAAAGTACCTTAAAGACACTTTAAGTATCTGGATTTTGCGAATACATGGCAGAGCTTCAGAAAGTGACAGTACCTGATATATTCTTGAAAAGCCTTTACAACTTTCTTCACAGACAAAGGAATGTGAATTGTATCACATGGCTCCACAACGGCACATGTTCCACCCTTATATTTTCCAAGACGGAAGCCCACTGTTTTATCTTCCTGATTTGCACCAACTCCAATCAGAAATTCACTTTTGTTTCGGTAGTCCGTCTGCGGACATAATAAACAATGAGAGGAAAAAGAATTAAAAGAAAAAAAAGGGTTGCATACCATTTAAATGAAGTAACAATTCAAACTATTTACTACTACAAGTTTGTAATGGATTTGCATTGTGTTCTATAACATTTGAGGTAATATAGATTTAGAACTTTAAAATGAAAAGCCCAATTGTAGTTCCACTGTAAACAAATTAGGCAAACTGAGGGAGTATTAAAATAGAAGTTGTTAAATGTCTCACTTTTCTGTGATATTTATGCATGCTCCAGAATCAGTGCAAAATTCAGAATCCCAGGATCAAGCTGACGAGAAAAACCACTGCTTATTGTGCAACAGCCTATCTCCAGTGGTCTGAAACACATCCTACACAGTGATCTCAGCTAGTTTAAAGGGTATACAGCAGGCATAACAAGGTCCCTGCTCTTTCCAATCTGCTGAATTGTGCACATTTGCTCCTGCTTGAAAGCACCAGCTCTTGATGGGTTTCTGAAGTGGTTTGGGTGGTCGGCAGTACTGGCACCTACTGCAAAAGCTCAATTTCTACATCTTTTTTGATAGTCTATTATAAAAGTGCTTTTATGCCTTCAGTAACCGCGGTTTATATTCTATTATCAGGGCAAAATTATATACATACAGGTCAAAAAGGTCAGGTTTCTGTGATGTAAAAAAATTAGACAAAGAAATCATTTCAGAACTTTTTCCACCTTTAATGCAACCTATAAACTGTACTACTCAGTTGAATAATAAACTGAAATCTTTTAGGTGGAGGGAAGTAAAAATAAAAAACTAAAATAATATGGTTGCATAAGTGTGTACACCCTTAAACTAATACTTTGTTGAAGCACCTTTTGATTTTATTCCAGCACTCAGTCTTTTTGGGTATGAGTATCAGCATGGCACATCTGGACTTGGCAATATTTGCCCACTCTTGCAAAAATACTCCAAATCTGTCAGATTGCGAGGGCATTTGCACAGCCCTCTTCAGATCAGCCCACAGATTTTCAATGGGATTCAGGTCCAGGCCATTCCAAAATTTTAATCTTCTTCTGGTGTAGCCATTCCTTTTATTGATTTAGGTTGTTGTCATGCTGAAAGATGAAGTTCCTCTTCATGTTTAGCTTTCTAGCAGAAGCCTGAAGGTTTTGTGCCAATATTGACTGCTATTTGGAACTGTGCATAATTCCCTCTACCTCGACTAAGGCCCCAGTTCCAGCTGAAGAAAAACAGCCCCAAAGTATGATGCTGCCACCCCCATGCTTCACTGTGGGTATGGTGTTCTTTTGGTGATGTGCAGTGTTGTTTTTCACCAAACATATCTTTTGGAATTATGGCCAAAAAGTTCAACTTTGGTTTCATCAGAACAGAACACATTTTCCCACATGCTTTTGGGAGACTTCAGATGTATTTTTTGCAAAATTTAGCAGGGCTTGGATATTTTTCTTCGTAAGAAAAGGCTTCCATCTTGCCACTCTACCCCATAGCCCAGACATATGAATACAGGAGATTGTTGTCACATGTACCACACAGCCAGTACTTGCCAGATATTCCTGCAGCTCCTTTAATGTTGCTGTAGGTCTCTTGGCAGCCTCCCAGACCAGTTTTCATCAAGTCTTTTCATCAATTTTGGAGGGACGTCCAGTTCTTGCTAATGTCACTCTTGCACCATATTTTCTCCACTTGATGACCATCTTCACTGTGTTCCATGGTATATCTAATGCCTTGGAAATTCTTTTGTACCCTTCTGATTGATACCTTTCAACAATGAGATCCCTCTGATGCTTTGCAAGCTCTCTGCGGACCATGGCTTTTGCTGTAGGATGCAACTAAGAAAATGTCTGGAAAGACCTACTAGAACAGCTGAATTATTTTTGGTTAATCGGAGGCACTTTAATTGATGGCAGGTGTGTACTGACTCCTAGTTAATATGATTTTGAATGTGATTGCTTAATTCTGAACACAGCTGCATCCCCAGTTATCAGAGGGTGTGCATTCTTATGCAACCACATTATTTTATTTTATGTTTACTCCCCCCTAAAAGATTTCAGTTTGTTTTTCCATTGAGTTGTACAGTTTATAGGTCACATTAAAAAGGTGGAAAAAGTTCTGAAATTATTTATCTTTATCTCATTTTTTACATCACAGAAACCTGACATTTTAACAGGAATGTGTAGACTTTTTATATCCACTGTATGTGTTCAATGTAAGCTGCTTTTTCACTGATTTAGTTTACCTGTGTGAATTAAAGCTGACGTTTTTTGTTTGGTGCTAGAGAACAGCAGGGTCATAAAACTTACCTGTAATAAAGTGTGTCCCATGTCCAGCTTGCTGCTACATAGTGTATAAATCTTATCCCTCCCCCCCCCCCCAACTTCCGTCAGGTCCTTCCCTACATCACTGATCTTCCAGTGCTGTGGGGGTTAACATCAGCCTCTGCAAGAGTGAGCGAGTTGAACTGTTCGCCCGCCTCTTTTAACCATATAACTCATACTATTCCTTCACATAATGCTGTGAATGGAAGACAGGCAGATGAATTACAAGATCTACTTCCTTTTTGCACCCTGTGAAAGAATAGAATACGTTCCATGGAAGAGGCATGCGGAAGGGGTGGACGAGTGGTTCAAGATCAGTGATGTGGGGAAAACACAGCTACACAACCCGACGAGCAAAAAAAAAAGAAAAGAAAAAAAAAAAGCTAAACTTCAGCTTTAAAGTTGACATGAGGCACATAAGGCTGGTACACACGGGACGAATATCAGCCAAATCTACAGCAACAGACCAACATTCGGCCAGTGTGTACAGCAGTATGTCTGACAAAAGCCAGTCCAATGTCCAGCTTCTGTCAAATAGGTAAGCTGGAAAACCAGCATCAGATCAGCGCTGGCAGCCAATGGCTGTGAGCACTGATCAGTGTTTTCTGGTTGGTTTCTGGGGGGTCAGTCCCCCTGTCAGAACACAACAGCTCAGTGGAAGAGATCACTGTACTAACATTGCATAGTTAGTACGGTGGCCTCTCATTTTTGTTCAGCCCGCTGGGTTGAACAAAAACTCACTTATCGTGTGTACCAGACATTACACAATACCATACTGTCTCAAACATGTAACACTTAAGCTATCCAATTGGTATCTGTACCTGGGCTGGAGAAGGCTTCACTCCTTCCAAAGGACAGCAAACTTTGTTATACTTCTGTTTCTGCGCAAACAGCCATGGCAATAATGCCTTGTTAGTATTTCCTATCTCCCTGGAGGAAGAAAAACACATTCAATGGTTAAACGTGAACTTTAGGCAGATAATTAAAACAACAGTTAATAGCGCTAGCTATATGCTAAAGCTTGTGTTTAAATCCAACTAGCATGACCTAAATTTGACATATTATTCTTCTGTAATCCCCTGTACAGTAGCACTAGGAGATGGAAGGTGAGCAGAGGAATAACCACATCAGTGTGCAGCCGCTCAATCTCTGTCCAATCTGCAGGATGAAGGTGTGTTCTGGACCAAGCCCTGTTGCTGCAGTGGTGGTCAAGAACCTGGTTGCACTGTCTGGTAATGTTACTTGGATTACAAGGTGAGCTAAAACAGAATTACAAATCATTCTTCAGGTAACATTTCCCATATCTACTCAAATTTCTACTTGGGGGGGGACGGGGGGGACCACCCCTTGCCCTGTTTTTAATTCTAGAGTCACAAGACAGCATTTCCTTCAAAAGCAAAAGAATATTCTCATAAAGAAAACACTGTTTAGTCCAGGACAGATCTCATCCTGGTGATGGAACAGTGAAGAAGCAACAGCACACTGAAGAGTCATGCCTTGCCTCACTTGTAAACACATGCGCACTCCTGCACATCTAAAATTGTGCTCACACAGACCAGGTTTTTAACACCATGTCAGAACACATGCCTGGCCATGCTGTTTGTAATAGAATTCACAGTAACAAGGCAGTGGGAAACAATTACTTTGTTAGCCTTTGGAGAACATGTTCACATTCTTGTTCCTTCATTTTAAGTTGCTCTTCATATGGAACCTGCCACAAAGGCGTCACCACATCTGCAATCTGCTTACTGAGAGGCTCCTCCTCAGCACTATCTTGTGCAGCAGGACGCTTTGGATCAGGTTGTTCCTTGTCATCTTCTTCCTGTTTTCTCTTCTTCATTATGGGATCTGCCTTTGGTTTCGCAAGCCGGACACTTAGAGCTCGATTTTTCCACATTGCTCCATGTATAACCTTCATAGCTTTATCCCTTTCCTCTTCACTTTTAAAAGTCACAAATGCAAAAGTTTGTTTCTTAATGAGCTTTATTTTATGAGGGTTTAATCCATATTTGGCAAGAAACTTCTTAATATCGTTAAAGCCTATATACTTTGGCAAGTTCTGTATCTCTACTTTGTAAATCTCTGAGGTGAACAGATCGTCTTTGATATATCTGTAAATTCCAGTGTCATCAGCATCCATGGTACTGTTATTTACAGTAGCTGCACTGTCAGCAGCTGTTGCAGCATATTCCCCATCATCAGCACCATCTTTAACTGGTCTTGTATCATCTGTGCTCAACACCTGGTCAGCTTTCACTTTTTCCTCTCCCTTGTTATTTTCAATATTGCTAGCTTGTTCAGGACACCTCACATCTGCCTCAAAACCATCCATTCTTTTTTCAGTTCTGGAAAACAAACATTTACGAGAAATCAGAATTTGTAGGTAATGTAACATTATTATTATTAACCACTTGCCCTCCTGAGGATTTACCCCCTTAATGACCAGGCCTTTTTGCTACTCGGCACTGCACTAAATTCAACTGATAATTGCGCGGTTATGCAATGCTGCACCCAAACAAAATTTACGTCCTTTTTTTCACACAAATAGAGCTTTCCTTTGATGGTATTTGATCACCTGTGCACTTTTTATTTTTCACGCTATAAACAAAAAAAGACCAAAACGATATTTTTTACTTTCAGCTATAAAAAATATATAGTAAACTCAAAGTTGCTTATAAATTTAGGCCAAAATGTATTTTGCTACATGTTTTTGGTAAACAAAATCCCAGTAAGTGTATATTGATTGCTTTGTGTGAAAGTTATAGAGTCTACAAACTATGGTATAGATACTGCAATTTACGCCGTTTTATTGCTATACACCGCTGCGCTAGTTTAACAGACAATTCCGTGGTCATGCAATACAGTACATAAATGAAATTTAAGTCCTTTTTTTCACACAAATAGAGCTTTCTTTCAGTGGTATTTGATCGCCTGTGCGGTTTTTATTTTTTGCGCTATAAAAAAAAAAAAAAAAAAAAGGCTGACAATTTTGAGAAAAACAATATTTTGGACTTTTTGCTATAAAAATGTGCAGTAAAAAAAATTTAAAAATCAAATTACGTCATAAATTTTGGCCAAAATGCATTCTGCGATATGTCTTTGCTAAAAAAAAACCAACCCAATACGTGTAAATTCATTGGTTTACGTGAAAGTTATAGCGTTTACAAATGTCAGGAAAGATACTCGGATTTTTAATTTTTTTTTAATACTAATAATGGCGCGATCAGTGACTTATGGCGGCGATCAGTGACTTATGGCAGGACTGCGGTGGACATTCTGACACTGGGGGGGGGGGGGGGGGGGAACGGACTTGGGGTCACTGACATTCCCAGTGACACCAATACAGTGATCAGTGCAAAAAAAAAAAAAACCCACTGACACTGTACTAATGGCACTGGGGAGGAAGGGGTTAACTTTTTTATTCACTGAAAGCGTTAACTGTGAGGGGAGTGTTTTACTAGGGGGCGGGCGTGTGTACTGCATGGGGACATGCTGATGGGGAGAGAGTGTCAGGAGCTGTCAGGGAACTGACAGAAAGCAGAGCTACTACAGCCCTGCTCTCTGTCAGGGATTGCCGCTAATCGGTGGGACACAGCCGGTAATGACCGGCCGTGACCCGGTGTCTGACACCTGCAGCCAGGATTGGCGGTGCAGGTAGGGCGGCGGTGTGCCTCGTGCACGCCCCCTACCTGTTTTGCAAAAGCGCGTTTTAAAACGTGCTTTTGCCAAGCCATGCCGCCCTGCCGCCGTATTTCTACAGTGGCTGGGCGGCAAGTGGTTAATAATGTCTTTTCTGCCTGAATTTAGCAATAATATAGTGTAAAATACTTTTTAAATTATACTACAGAAAAAAAAAAAAAAAAAACACACAACAGACAAACAAAACACACTGGCAATTTACAGTACATGGACTAGCAGGGAGGAGAGGTGCCACAATGGTCAAGCCAAATGAGAAGCAAATAGTCTGTGCACCTTGAAGCCCAATCTTCAGCATAATATATAGATACCTTTAATCAGGTGTTGAAATTATTGAGTGCTAAACTGCAGCTGCCACTGACGGTCAGCCTTACAATATTACTCCCCATTAGGAGCCCCCGATTTGTAATTTTTTAACTTGTACATGAGACTCAACTTATTAACTGTGTCATCAGTATTAGTAAAAGCTCTGACACTTCCGTGTATCGTGTCCAAGTGTGGTGATTGTTTGAAAAACCCCAATCACTCAGGACTTAAGGCTTCAGCCATAAAAAACAGCGACTGAAGCAGGATAAGCCTGGCCTTGAAACGGGTGGAAAGTGCCCACAGAGTGTCACCCATGAGTCAGAGAATGTCAGAGTACCAAGTCCTTCTGGGGTAGTTTGGTTACTCCAAGATCAGATGCCCTCCATCTCGATCCTGCAAAGCAGACGAGGGGAAAAATACAAAACAGAGGGAAGGATTATCTCAGAACTGCTCCCAGGGGGTCACCACTGCATCCACTATAGAGCCCTTGTATCCCTAATCCTGGCCACAATCCTTTCCACCTTGTTGAAGTGTGTTGCCATCAGATCCTTGTCCGGTGTCCCCCAACATTGACAGATGTCCAGAAACAGTTTAAGACAAAAGAGACCATTCCCTCACATCCAGGAGATAACTGAGAAAGGCTGCCAGCGGATTGTCTCCTCTGGGAACATGGACCATGAACAAGACTTGAATATGCCTTTTGGCCCAAGCCAAAATTAGGTCTGCTTGGAAGGGTCATGCAGCTTCTTGTGCTGCCCTGCTGACTGATGTAAGCCACAGCCATGTCTGACTGAACTCTTGTTGGTCGCCCCTGAAGCTGGTCAGTCCACTACAGCAGGAAAGGGCTAATAGCCCTTAGCATGTTGATGGAAAGTCCCATGGGGAAGCCCCTCAAGGGCCTGTCCTTTGCACAGTTTCTGTCCCTAGGACTCTGCCCAAACCCAAAAGACTGGAACATGAGAACTGCGTTGATGGGAAAAAAAAAAAAAAAAAAAAAAAAAGGACTTCCACAATTCCAGCACAGGGCTAGTAGACCAGAATTTCCTGTCCTTGGGAGATGGTCTCTGCTCATGGGCCATGTGCCTGAGATTGGTTGTCCCACTCAGAGCTGCAGAGGCCTGGAGTGAAAATGGTCTCTTTCAAGGTGTGATGTCTTTCTGCCATGAGGCAGAGTAGTCTCATGCCAAAAAATAAAAATACAGTGAAGGAAATAAGTATTTGATCCCCTGCTGATTTTGAATGTTTGCCCACTCACAAAGAAATGATCAGTCTAAAAATCGAATGGTAGGTGTATTGTAACACTGAGAGACAGAATAGCAACAAAAATTTCAAAAGAAATGCATGTCTAACAAGTTATGCACTGATTTGCATGTTCATGAAGGAAATATTTGATCCCCTATCATTCAGCAGAATTTCTGGCTACCAGGAGTCTTTCATACAGGTAACAAGCTGAGATTAGAAGCAGTCTCTTAAAGGGAGTGCTGCTAATCTCATTTTGTTACCTGTATAAAAGACACCTGTCCACAAGAGCAATCAAACAATCAGATTCCAAACTCTCCACCACATCAAAGACCAAAGAGCTGTCCAAGGATTTCAGGGACAAAATTGTAGACCTACACAAAGCTGGACTGGGCTACTAAACTATCGCCAAGCAGCTTGGTAAGAAGGTGACAACAGCTGGTGCAATCATTCGCAAATGGAAGAAACACAAAACAACTGTCAGTCTACCTAGGTCTGGTGCACCATGCAAGAAGTGCCAAAAAGTGGCTGCAAGGGTCTGGGCAGTGCGCTCCAACAGGAGATCGTCCAGATATCCGATAATGAGATTCCTGTGAGAGCAGCAGCGCAAAGATCAGAACAAACACTTTGGTAGAGATCCAGTAAACCGTGGATAGGCCAAAGAGGAAAAGCCACAAACTGGAAATTCTGTTCGCCCCTTGCAAATCACAGGACCACTGATGCGGGGGAAAAATAGAAACATGAAAATAAACCTCTTTGATGTTTTTTGCTGCTAGAAATTCCCCTAGTTGCAATGACGCAATCAGAGACCAAGCTGATTCCAAAAATGGAACTTCTGGAACCTCAAAAGGTGTTGAGAAATGTAATATCCAGGATGGACATAAAACACTCAGCTTCAGGGCTGTAACCAGCTTTGAATAAAAGCCCTGAAATAGTTCCTCAGGGTGAACTGTGACAAATCACTTCTGAAGAATGAAGTGGCTGCAAGGCAGTATGAAGGGCAAAAACCTTGTTGGGAGAAGCAGAAGGTTTGAGGATATAAAATGGGGAGGAGGCAGGGGCTGAAATTCTATTCTGTATCCCTTGGACACTGTGTCCTGGATCCAAAATGCCCTGAATCCAGGTTGTCAAGAAGTGGGAGTGCTTCTTTTTTGCGAGGAAGACTTGGTGCAAAAATTTGCAGGCTTGGATGTCCAGTATTTGCAATGGAACTTAGTGGATGACTTGGCCTTAGAAGCCTTAAAAGGTGTGGGAGGAGCAAAAAACTCTTCGTAATCTGGAAGAGAATCTTTTCACCTCTGGCACTTTAGTTTTTTTCTTACTCAGTAAGACAGTGCTCTTTCCCCCAGAGACTTTCTTAATGTAAGTACAAAAATCATTAAGTGTTTCCACCCCACACAGTGAATGGAATAATTCCTGAATTATAGTACACACAAAAACTGGATTGGGACTTTTCAGGCATTAAAAATACAAATTTTATATTTGTCACATATCATAAAAATCTTTAACACTTCAGCCTCAGCGATGTACCAGTATGTCGCAGGGTTGAAGTGGTTATACTGGGATGTTGCCTGCAAGTACAGGCATCATCCAGGTATTTGTGTATATTGTAGATAGTAACTGGATTGCTTTTATAGCCGGCGGGAATTTGTATTTTTATAAGGTTTAGTAGTTGTAATGCCTGAAAAGTCCAAAACCAAGTTTTTTTTTTTTTTTGTTACTTCGTAATGGAAAAATGTCTCCAATGGAGAGCCCAGTGCCAGAGGCTAGCCCCACATAGGCTTTGCCAATGGGTCACCCATGTGAAAGCTGCTGCAGTGGCTGTAGATGCAGCTAGTTGGAGAGAGGTCTCCTCCATAGGCAAAACAGTGTGGAGCCTTAATTTTTCATTATAAGAGAACCTGTTCTCAGTAGAGCGAGATTATCCATCACCTAAGGACACTAGCAAAAATAAAAAAAAGGGGAGGAGGAGTCCTAACAACTTTGCCAGTGTCCTAAACTGAAGTATCCCATACAATTAAAATACATAGTTTCTCATTACAGTAACAGGTTAAAAGTTTTAAAAAAATGGGAGAGAGGCTTGTGGTGAATTTCGGCAATGCCTGGACATACACTTTAAAAAGAAACCTCAACATACAAAAATATATCTTAAGCAAAAATTCACCTGTGTCTATTCTTTGTTTTCTCTGTGCACGGTTTAAGAAAGAGAGAACCTCTCCACAAACTTTTAGGACTGCAGCAGAAATGGAAGTTTGCCTGTGATACCGTGCTCTTCTGTGTCGCTCCTAAAATAGCCTCTCTCACATTCACAGAAACTTTTAGTGCAGGAATGCCTGCAATTTACAATAAACCAACAAACAGTAAGTGCAAATAAACAGATATTATTTAGATCTAATTTTAACTGTTGTTCCAATTCCTGATGCATAAGTATACAAGTATGCAAGTGAGGAATGAAAGATTGGATTTTGTATCAACTTTATTGAACAAGGAGAGTGACAGTTTGTGAAAACACAAGGACTGGTTAACACTAAGGAAATTGGGTTGCTATTACAATTTACCTGTAGCATATCTGCACAATTCAAACTCAGAACATGGAGAGAAAAAAAAAAAGAAAAAAAAAAAAAAAAAAAAAAAAAAAAAAGTACGCATAAGCAGAGATCATCTCCAATGAAAACCACATGCCAAAATGACCAGTATATCCTGAGGTTTAGGAAAGCTTAATTTACATGCAAATCTGTCTTCTCCTGTAAGGTTAGTGACCGTTAGCATAGAGTCACTTCTGTAAGATAACATACCTGATATATGCAAGAAGACAGAAAAAAAAAAAAAAAATCATCTTACTTTTCCAGCAACCCATTTCTTCAAATGCTGGTTCTTTGGTGCTCCTTGGCCGTTGCAAGTATTCCACAATTCTGGGTATATGGAATACCTCCCATCAGCTTGTATGTCATTGGACGTATAAGCAAGAGCAATCACAGCTTGCAGGGGCACAGCAGGCATTCTATACACCTAGTGTGGCAGCCTTTCAAATCAAAAGAGCGGTAAATACTGTATATTGGTATGTTAATTGTATAGAAGTGACCCTGTGCTGACAGGGTCTCTAACTTTTACAGGAAAGTATTTATTTCAGGTACTTATATAGCGCCGTCAATTTACGCAGCACTTTACACATATATATTGTACATTCACATCAGTCCCTAACCCTCAAGGGGTGTACAATCTAAGGTCCCTAACCTACATTCATACATACACACAGATTTGGGCCAATTTAGACAGGATCCAATTAACCTACCAGCATGTCTTTGGAGTGTGGGAGGAAACCTGAGTACCTGGAGGTAACCCACACAGGCACAGGGAGAACATGCAAACTCCAGGCAGGTGGTGCCATGGCTGGGAATCGAACCAACGACCCTAGAACTTCCAGGTGGAAGTGCTAACCATTTAGCCACTGTGCTGCCAGATATTAACTGAAGCAGAATTTCACCACACTATGGAAATCAGAAAATACTTACCTCCCGTAGTTTTCCTTTCCAGGAACCTGTCTATGGCAGCATGCACTTGGTTGGTGCTATGCCATATTTAATAAGTAGAAAGATATCCCATTCTTTTAACTACAATAAGAAGAGGAAGGAAAATATGTTTCTATGAATTAGCACCAAGAAAGGAAAAAAAAAAAAATAAATATATATATATATATATATATATATATATATATTCCTAGTAGAATGAGGAGCTGTCACGGCTTGGAGAAGCACCTTGCCACTAGCTCAGTAAGCTCTCTGAATTACATGCACAATCCAAATTGCGATGTGTGAGGATGACACTGGTTAACCTTATACACCAACTGGTATGATAAACTGTATCGTACTTCCAGATGGACCGTGTTTTTTTTAACTTTTCATTTTAGGAAACATTGTATACAACCAAGTATATGAGCCAGAAAAATAACAGTAACAATCATGACATATAGACAAGAGTACCCTGCAATGCAACCTTGTTGCCTATTCTGGGATAGAGGCCATTAATTGGAGGTGAATCATGACCACTACAATCACGTCTTTTTGAAATGGGCTTCTAGTTTCTGAAGGGACAATGTAAGCTCCTCTATCCTCATGATGTCACTAAGAGAAATAATCCAATGACTCACCGTGGGGTTGACTTCCACTAAAGTGGGATGCAAGCCCTAGCCGGGTTTAGAAGATGGATAACCAGGAAACAACTGTATCTACATTTAGAGAGGGAGCTGAGGTGAAGCAACCAAGCTGCATGGCCATATTCCAGAGTGAGATCTGTAAGGTACTGATTGAAGGCACAAACATCCTGCCAGAAGGGCAGCTATTTCCCACTCAGTTTCCATGTCCTCAAATTCAGAGTCTCTGGACTAATGTGCTGAAAATCAGGTCATAAACTGTGACTTACAGGTTGACAACCACATCAGGAGAATGAAACAAGGTCTTTCAGGCCAATTTGTGGCATGGTGCCTTTTCGGATGTACAAAGTGTCCATTCGATATGCACCAATTATTATACAGGATTTATATAGTGCCAACAGTTTTCTCAGTGCTTCACAATATAAAAAGGGAGACAATGCAACAACAATAGAGGGAGAGGTTGGTGGTACAAAAAAAGGTAGTAACTGTGGGGGATGAACGGACAGGGAGAAATAGAAGATTTGTTTATTAGCTGAAGGCAGGATAGGCTTCCCTGAAGAGATAGGTTTTCAGAGATTGCCTAAAAGTGGGCAGAGTAGGCGATAGTCGGATAGATTGGGGTAGAGAGTTCCAGAGGATGGGGGAGACTCTGGAGAAGTCCTGGAGACAAGCATGGGAGAAGGAGACAAGGGAGCTAGATAGCAGTGAGGTCAGGGGATGAGCGGAGAGGACAGTTTGGGTGATATTTGGAGACAAGATTGGTGACGTAATTTGGGGCAGAGTTATAAATGGCTTTATATGTCATTGTTAATGTTTTAAATTTTATTCGTTGGGCAATGGGAAGCCAGTGAAGGGATTGGCAGAGAGGGGTGGCAGATATGGAACGGTTGGCAAGGTGGATGAGTCTGGCAGCAGCATTCATGATAGACTGAAGAGGGGATAGCCTGCGATTAGGTAGGCCAATAACAAGGGAGTTACAATAGTCAAGGCAAGAGATAACAAAGGAGTGAATAAGCTGCTTAGTGGTTTCAGTGATTAAAAACAGACGTATCTTGGAGATGTTGTGGAGGTGATGTCTACAAGATTTGGAAAGCGATTGGATTTGGGGCTGAAAAGATAGACAGGAGCCCAGGGTTACACCTAGTACCCTGGCATGAGGGGAGAGACTGATGGTTGTATTATTGTTCTTGATAGAAGTCAGGGCAGGGGGTATGGGCTGGAGGGAATAGTATGAGGTCCATTTTAGAAAGAAGTGGAGTGACATCCATGCCGATATGTCACTTAGTAAGTTAGTAATGCGAGAGGAGACTGAATGGGTGAGGTAAGGAGTAGAAAGATAGATTTGTGTGTCATCAGCATAGAGATGGTTCTTAAACCCATGGGAGTTTATCAGGTGACCAAGGGAGAAGGTGTAAATGGAGAAGAGAAAGAGTCCAAGGACAAAACCTTGAGGGACCCCTACAGAAAGAGGAAGTGGAGAGGAGGAGACAGTTATAAGTAATGCTGAAGGAGCTCTGCGCTAGGTATCGAACATCCCTGTACCTATCTCCTGACTGAATTTAATGAGACTATTAAAACAGTATAGCAAGCTATCAAATCTGAAAAGTCAGAGATTTTAAACATTAATATTCGAAAGCTAGAGAAGCTGAGTTTACAAACAGATTTTCCATTTACTTGGAGGGAAAAGAAAATAGTCTACCTGGGAATAAAATGAACTCCTTCAATAAAAGGCCTAGACCAGGCAAATTATATTCCATTAATAAATTAAATGAAGGATGAGTTGGGGAGAGACTTCCAAAAGGGAGAAGCCTCCTGGATAGGTGGTATAAACCTGGTAAAGATGGTGATAGTACCAAAAATTCTGTATAAGTTTCACATGCTCCCAGTACACCTACCAGGGTCTTTCTTTGGGATAATAAAGAAGCTGATACTCAGGTTTATATGGGCAAATAAGAAACCAAGAATTAGGCATGAGGTTTTGTGTAGGGCAAAAGGGAATTGGGGATTGAGTTTGCCTAATGTTAGGAATTATTATTTAGCGGTGATTTTATCACAAATAGTAGACTGGACATTTAATTTACGAAGGAAAGGCTGGGCAAATATGGAAGGGATATTAAGTAAGGCACAGATAGGGAAGATTGTTTGGATACCACATAAATTTTGTACATTGGATGTGAATACCAGTCCATTGACAAAGTTTTAAGTGTTTGGGATAGAATATATAAGCAAAAAGGATGGAAATATAGTTCAGTATTGACCCCCTTGGTGGGAATGGAGTACTTCCCCCCCCCCCCCCCCCCCCCCCCCCCATGGAAGGACAATATTTCGGGGAAATGGATTAAAGATAAAAATGGATGTTTGAAAGATATATTAAATAAAGGGAAATTGCACACTTTTCAAGAAGAAAAAAACAAATGTATTTTTCACATTAGAGGAGTGGCGGTATTGTCAATTAGGTCATTTTGTTTCAATGCTCCCACAGCCACTGAGGACGTCGGAGGATCTGTATCCATTTGAAAAACTGTTGAACGTAGTTACAGTTTCAAAACAAGTTACCGCCAGGATTTATAAGACCCTTATGGATATGGAAGGAGCTGATCCTCCCCAGTTCTTGGAAAAATGGGAAAACGACCTTGGAACAGAATTGAATGAGCAACAAAGGAATAAAATATTTAAACTAACACATGAGGTGATGAATATGAGCACAGTTGACATTAACTATAAATGTTTGACAAGATGGTATGTTACACTGAGTGTGGCACATAAACAAGTGCATGTTTCACCTTTATGTTGGGAGAGACTGTGGGGAAAAGGGAACAATGGCACATATACGGTGGGATTGCCCAAAATTTGCCAGGCGTTTGAGGAGCGGCACCATAGACTTGAATGGGAGGACTCCTCCTGACTCGACATGAGGCGCCAGTTTTGCTGCGATGCTAACGCTTCAGTGTGAACAGCACTGTGTGCTGCCATGTGCAGAATTTTCATAGCCATTTGAGAAGTGTTAAAAACACTTCCCAAACGCCTGTCTGACGCCTGCTGACAAAGCTAGTGTGAACTTAGCCTAATGGAGTACCTGAAAGAGAGTGGAGGTGGGAGGGAAGGGATATAGATACAGATAGATAACCATGGGACAGGATAGAAACTAGGTAATAGGATGTGGACAGGGGTAATTGGATGGGGGGAG